CTCACTTATAAGCCCATCCTCTTTATATTAAAGAGGAAAATTGACATATTTCCTCTTTCTCTCTGAAATTAATAAAAAGATACACTTTTTGTTTTATTTTTAATTCTTTATTGTTGAAAGTATTACGTATGTCCTTGTTTTCCCCCAGCAACTCCTTCTAGTTCACCCCCCCCCAAACCCCCTCCCAGGCCTTGACCATCCTATTGTCTGTGTCCATGGGTTATGCATATTAGATTACTTTTTCACTTTTGTTCATGGATGATACAATACATTAATCACTATTTTCTACAAAGGAATGGATAAAGACAATAAAATTATTATAAGAAGTTATACAGTTTGAAATAACGGTGTTCCCTCTGCTTTCCTCATTTAAATTAGCTCTCTCAAATAAAATCTTCCTAGATTTTAAAGTATCTGTATTTTTTCCTTTGCTAATTAACCTCATGAGTTTCCATGAGTTTCAGAATACAATTCCCCTTCATCTTCTGCAAGCCTATAAAGTTCTTGTACCTCTGAGGAGTGAATTACAATGATTTTCCTGCTTATTTCCTGAGCTCTCTACCTCTGTATAACACTATCTTATAGGTGACTCAAACTAAACCCGGCCATTTTCCCAACTTGTAGCAAACCTGCTCCTCCCCCTGTGGAAGGCACACAGGTTAGTTAGTAAGGGACACTACCATTTATACAGATGCTTACGCCAAAAATCTGGCATCATCCTTGCTCCCCTCCCTCTCGTCTATACCCCTGTACTTGGTCTATTTCTATCTCTTGTTGATCCTTCCATCTAAATGTCTCTCAAATCTTCAGACTTTGCTCCAGCCATCTCCCTGGCTCTAGCCCTAAAGCAGACCCTCATAGCTTTTCATCTGGATTTCAGCTTCATAATCGGCCACCAGTTCACTTATTATTCCCATGTCCCTCCTGCAAACAGAGTGATCTTTTCAAAACGTCCATCTGACCATGTCTAATTGACAGTACTGAATGTCCTTTTATTGCCAAAAGGACAGAGAACAAATTCCTCAATGTGGCTTCTCGGCCTCTCACAACCTGGCCCCTGTCCATCTCTCCAACGTCATCTCTCACCACTCTCCTCACAATCTAGCCATACCTAATTCTGCAGATTTCCTGGATGCCACCATACTTTTAAACCCCTGTGTCTTGGTTCAGACTATTTTGTTAGTTCAGCCCATACCCATTCCCCTTCTATTGGAAAAGGTCAGGTTTGCCCAGCTGGCATGGGTCAGTGGTTGAGCGTTGAAATATGAACTAGGAGGTCACAGTTCAATTCCCAGTCAAGGCACGTGCCCGAGTTGTGGGCTCGATCCCCAGTGTGTGGCATGCAGGAGGCAGCCAATCAATGATTCTCTCTCATCATTGATGTTTCTATCCCTCTCTCTCCCTCTCCCTTCCTCTCTGAAATATATATATATTTTTTAAAGATCAGGTCTTACTTGAGTCTCTGAGCCAGGTTGTTTCCCTTCTCTTTGGTTCCCACATCTGTCACACTTTGTAACCATTTGCTCTGTGCCTGTCTTCCACTAGAACAGCGGTTCTCAACCTGTGGGTCGCAACCCGTTTGGCGGTCAAACGACCCTTTCACAGGGGTCACCTAAGACCATCCTGCATATCAGATATTTACATTATGATTCATAACAGTAGCAACATTACAGTTATGAATTAGCAACGAAAATAATTTTATGATTGGGTCACAACATGAGGAACTGTATTTAAAGGACCAGAAGGTTGAGAACCACTGCATTAAAAAGTAAGTGCTCAGAAGAGGGGTCATGTTTTGTTCATTCTGGCATCCCCAGAACTGAGCACATAGCAAATATTTGTTAACTGAGTACAGTGATTCTAACTGAAAAGTCATTATTGAAAAGAATTGAGAGTGAACATAATTATTAGAAAACATAAGAAATGTTTTTCCCCCCAAAAGGCACAACTGGTCACATTTGATCTCTCATAAATATCTGTAAATTCAGAGGTTAAATCTCAAGTGTTAAGTCTGTAGTCAAATTTGCATTTCATCAGAGCTACAATCCAGACTTAGTGTTCAGCTGCTCAAGTTGACAAGTAGGCTGGTTTATTTTAATTTGACTGTTAGCGGTTAGCTTCCACAGCTGTTGTGGTACTGTATTGTCAATCATTGGCCTGGTAGATCAGTTTTACTGATTTGGAGGGGAGAAAAAACAACAATATTCAGAAGACTTCTTTTTTGATCTTTTAGCAGAAAACAATTAGCACTCTTCCCCATAGATGTGCATTTACTGCTCTCTCAGATTGTGAATATTCTTTACAAGAAAATGAAAACAGCAAATGAGGTTATCATTTACAGTTTTAAATTGTCCTCAGTAGGTAATTTTTTAATATATCATCTTTGAAAATAAAAACGGAGTTTTCCCCAAAAGCTAAAAACTAAGAGCATTTAAAGTTCACTCCCTTCATTCAACAAGTGTTCACCAGGCCCTGCAGGCTTGTGATGAGTATTGTGGTGGCATTATCTTTTAATGTCTTTTATAATGAGCTCTGACCCCCTATTTCTTTTTGTCCTGTGACTCTCCAGACAACAGCTGGGCATTCTATTTGGATGTGTCAGGGAAGGGTTTTTATAGAAGAACACAGGGAAAAAATCCTTCCTCTTTAAACTTTTATGACCTTTAAGCTTCAAATCCTAAACCCTGAAACACTTGGGGCATAACATTTTTTAAAACCATGCAATCAGTTTGAACATTTTTTCCACCCCCAGAATAGATATGGAATCAATGCCAAGGGAAAAGAAGAGGAACAAGGAGAGGAGAGGAACAGAGCAGAGAGGGAAGGAGAAGAGGAGGGAGGAGAAGAGGAAGAGAGGAAAGGTAAAGAGAGGGGAAGGGAGAATCACGGGGAAGCGAAGAATGAGATGCTGGAAGATCCCTCATAGATCTATTCTGGACCTCCTCTATTCAGCTGGACAGAAAGTAGGGATCTTCTGCTAGAATTGGGGTCCTAAATAAATGAGAACCCATGTCACCTTTCCTGGTAGGGCTGTGAAAAGCAACAAGGCATCTGAGTTTTCATGAGCTTACCATATATCAGCCAAGATCTAATGAAGAAAACAGAAATAACTCTATTTCAAATGGAGGAAATGTAATTGTGACAGGGAATTGGCTACATAGGTGGTAGAGAACCTGAAAAGCCGAAGGGATAATGACACAGTCTAAAGATTAGCTGCAGCAGGAAGCCACTATGTTGGAAGAACAATGGGAAAAGGTGGTGTTATTGGAGCTCAGGGTCAAAGGTTACCTAGGAAAGTGAAACCACAGAAGTCCTGACTAGACAGTTGATCGTAAATGAAATGCAGCTACTAATGATGATGCAAAGAAAGGTGGAAGAAAATCCTGGCCTCTTCCTTTTTGTGATCCTTCACAGGTGCCTCACAAGCACCAAACCCAACTAGAATCCAGTTAACATGAATCAGCCACTCTGTAGCAGAGAAATGGGTGAGGAATGAGTCTGAGGGCAAATATACCCTGAGAGCAGGAAAATGTCTTCAGGAAATGTCTAGAACTATGGACCTAAGACAGCCTCACAGAGTCCCCGTGGCCTAGCATGACCCAGAGGAGGACAGAGCAAGGCACATATGACAAGGGTGCCTGAAGAATTGAAGGGGCCTTGATGCTGGGACAGGGAAGACACATAAGGATCTACTTAGACAGGAAACCAAAGACCAAATGGGCCCTCAGAGATCTCAGTGAATTCCGGCAGAAGACATTGAGAAGATAAGACTTGACTCCACCATAATGAATTAGCTATGCGCATAGATGGAGATAATTTAAGGACATAATTAACTAAAGCAGTGGTTTTTAACCTGTGGGTCATAACCCCTTTGGCGGTCGAACGACGCTTTCACAGGGGTCGCCTAAGACCATCCTGCATATCAGATATTTACATTATGATTCATAACAGTAGCGACATTACAGTTATGAAGTAGCAACGAAAATAATTTTATGGTTGGGTCACAACATGAGGAACTGTATTTAAAGGGCCAGAAGGTTGAGAACCACTGATCTAGCAGACTAGAGGGTGAACTGAAATTCTCTATTAGACAAAGAAAGAAAAGCCATTAAACAGACATAGCCCTTCATCTAAAAGAGCCCACTGAATGATGGGGAAGGGTAGTCACATAGCCCAGATGCCAGTAATACAGTGAGAAACAGAAACAGGTCATGTTGAGGGATGCACTGGGGCTGGAGATGCACATGGAGAAGTTTCTATCCTTGTCTGTGAGGTAGGGCTCTTGAGTTTAAGGGATTAATCGGGATTTAGGAAGCAGGTGGAGGGGAGAGCCTCCCCTTTGTTGTTTTCCTATGTCCCTCCTAATGCATTTCAAGAGAAACCAGTGCATTACTAATCTAACTACCGCCCATTTCAGTCTTTCAGCAGCATGGCAAATCTCTCCTGGTTTATCATCCATTTGATTAGTAAATGAGGCAGTGCTGAAGTGACAGGATGCATGTGACCTGAGTTTCAACTCTAATGGGTAGCACCAGCAGCTTGCAGGAAATGAGGTTCTGTAAATGTATTCTTTTGTACATTTGGTGAGGCCATTTCTAGACTTCAGTTTTGAATTAGCCCGAGATCTCAAGGCACTCAGGTAGTCTTGCAGAATATGCAATCCACAAGAAAAATCTACTTAAGCCATCTAAAATATATTATTTCTACATTGACCAACTTCTATTATGAAGCAAATTTCAGATCTATCATCTAGTACTCCGATCTGTCAGGACTCTCCTTTCAATATTGTATTTTGCATTTTTTAAACAGAGAAACAAGACCTGGATTTACAAGTAACTCATCTATCACTATTCCAGAAACAGTATTCCTAAACTTGCCTTTTATAATCTAAGATTTTAAGAACTAAAAGTAATTGTTGTTCTTCTCATTGTTTACAAAATGGAAAATGATTATATTACAGAAAACAAACATTATTGAACTGTTTTGAATATTTTTTTTACCTTATTAGAGACATATGTTCCAGAGAGATCTAGTGATATCAAGGAGTAGATGTTTATGATATATTCAACTCCTGAGTCAGTCAGTTGTTCACAATTTCGTAAACTCAAATAGTTTAAGTTAGGGCAGCTGAAAGAATCATAAAAAATAATTTTAGCTTTTAACTACTGTTAGTAACAATTTCTTCACATAAAAACGATCTGGGAAAGCAAATAATACTGAAGCAAGGATTTTACTTTTCTCAACATAAAAGTAAGCTTAAAGGTGGAAAATAATTTGGCATTACAAGGGTTGATGAAAAGGAGATGGCTTATTATATAAGGCACTAGAGGCCTAGTGCATGAAATTCGTGCATGGGCAGGGCCCCTAGTGGCTTAGTGGCTGGTGGTTGCTGGCCAAGGCCTCTCTTCCCATGGTTCCCGGGACCAGCCGGCCCCGCCCCCTGGTCAACCTCTTGGTTGAATTCCCAAACTCCCGGTGGAGTGGACAATTTTTATATTAGCCTTTTATTATATAGGATTCTTTCTGTGATTTCATTTCATATTGCAATTTCTAATAAAAAAAAATATATCACATACATATCATGTAAGTAACACAATGAATGATCACTACAAGTGCAAGGTTAAATTTCTTACTTATCCCTTACGAGTTTGCAACAGCAATTGGTCTTGACCAGCCGTGGGCAAACTACGGCCCGCGGGCCAGATCCGGACCGTTTGAAATGAATAAAACTAAAAAAAAAGAGACCGTGCTCTTTTATGTAATGATGTTTACTTTGAATTTATATTGGTTCACACAAACACTCCATCCATGCTTTTGTTCTGGCCCTCCAGTCCAGTTTAAGAACCCATTGTGGCCCTCGAGTCAAAAAGTTTGCCCACCCCTGGTCTTGACCCTTAGTATACACACGACCTCCGCCAAATAAGGAGAATGAAGAATAAATTCACCAGCTAGAACATCCCTTAGGAAATACCTGAGTAAAGATTTACATGGAAATGATATCCTTGAAAAGTACAGCGAAGTCACTCATGCCTAGATATTCATAACTTCATGAATGATCCATTTCAAAGTTTCTCTAAGGTGAAATTCATAAGAAACATCTCAGATACAATTAAAAGCCACTATGACTCCAATGTCTTTTATTTTATTTCATGGAATATTGGGCCAGCTTTATGGCTGGTCCTGATGTTTTTCAAATGGCTTTGAAGTTCTATCTCTAATCTCTCCTTATTAGTAAATATGCAATTACTAATGATATGATGTAAAATATTGTTTTATCATACCGCTCTGCTAGTCTCAGAATAGAGGCATCACCCACTTGGATACAGTTACTTAAATTCAGCTCTCTTAGCTTTGTGCTTGAAGGACCATCAAGAAATTGCTTTAGTCCCGTATCACCAATTCTGTAGGAAAGAGTAAAAAGAGCTTTACATGTGATTTGATATGTCAGTATATTGGAATACGATTTAAATATAAGAAACATATTTAAAATAAAATAACTAAAAAAGAAATTGCAAAGATGTATTAGCAAACTTAAATAAAATTAATACAGGTTTGTTGATACCAATAATTTAATAGTTGTGGGAACTTGCTTTAAAACTTCATGCACAGTTCATTTTTAAAGGATTGGTGTGTGGTTAAGAAAATGTTTATTCTTCGACTCACCCGCTTATTTTTTTAGGTGTATCTTTCATAGATGGATTTTAAAAATCGAACCTGAAACTCTATCTTTTCACCCTATATTATAGTCTTATAAATTCCTTTTTTTTGTTTTTTACTCTGATGTCATGAAAGTGGTTATCTTCCAGCTCTGTTCTTCTCTTTTCAGTGAGTTCTAATCTGCTGATTAGCAATCCATTGAGTTTCTTTATTTCAATAACTATATTATATTTTTATTTCTAAAAGTTATTTTTCTTTTCAAATAAATCTAGTTATTTTTACATTTTGTTGCCTGCTCATATTTCTGATTCCATTATTTATTTCTTCAAATGTATCATACATAGTTACTTAATATTCCAAATCTGATCATTCTAATATATGAATTACTTGAAGATCAAATGTATTTTGCCATTTCTGGTGACTCCTTTTCATGGTAACTCCTATTTTTGTACATTTGGTGGTCTATAATTGTGAACACCGATTTATTTGATCTTAATCTATGGTAACCCTGAAATCCTAAATAGAAGATGCTTTCCTATAGAGAAGAAGCGTTGAGCTAACTTCTTCCAGACGCCTGAGTCCTTTAAAGGGTTTTACCAGCTATACTGCCTGAAGCAGAAAACCTCCATTTATTTTAAAATTAGTTAACCTGCAGAAGCCTGAGTGAAATAGAAGAATGAAGATCAATTTTATTTCACATATTAATACAGATAAGATTAGCTCTTATGCACACACACATGCACGTATGTACACATTCACATATGCACACATGCACATTGTGCTGGTATCATGATGCCAGCTTGCTCATGAGCTTGCAGTCAAAATGCCAGCAGGGGCTTCAGTCATATGAAGGCTTGACTGAGCCTGGAGGGTCTGCTTCCAAGCTCACTCACATGGCTATTGGCAGGAGGCCTAAGTTCCTTGCTGCTCATTGATAGGGGACCTCATTTCCTAATCCTCATTTCAAATTCTATGTTACGCCCCCCCCAGAAACATGTGCTTCTTCATCTTAATAGACAACCTGGCTTAAGATGTTGTGTAGCTTAGCTTATTACTCAGACTCGTCTTATGTTTTCCCAAATATTAGCCAACATCATAGGATCAAATGCTATTTTGTTATCCTCTGGCCCAATCATATTACAAGAAACTTACATAGGCAAGAAGCTGAGATATTCATTGGTGAAGAGGTTTCAGCAAGAATTTCATCCTTGCCCACCTGAGAATACCAGGATAGAAGCCCGATAGTAGCCTCGCTGAAAACAGGGTTTTAGTAAGAACTCACCATCTATCCATCTGTCAGCACCTTCACACAGGAGAAATCTAACCAGTACCCAAGATTGGTTCCTCATAAGCAAGTTTGAAAGTCCATTTGGGAAAAACCTGTTAACTGAACCAGCTGTGGGAACACTCACTAGGAAAGATAGTCCATAAGTCTTTCTATGAATTCATTTAATTTTAGGAGGGCCTGTGATTCCACACATCCTGAGCTTTCCCTGAGAATCTCCCTGCACCCCCATATAAACATTCTGGATTGGGTACCCCTCCTTTGTGTTACCACAGCCTCTGCTTGGACTCCTGACTTTCATGTTTACTACCAATGAGCTCTTTAAGGAAGCCTGGCACAATCCCGAGATTCAATATTTCTTGAATATATGACTAAGTGACTCATTACCTTATACAATTTGCCAAATTCAACACACTAAGTTGCTTCAAAGGTGAGAGTGACTTGAGGCTACTATCCGTTATTCCCTTGCAGTTCGCCATGTAAATGTGACTAATGTTTGGATAATGCTTGTCTATATGTTTGAAGCATGAATCAGTAATTCTTTTATTTCCTGTTTAAAAAAAAAACACACAGAAGAAAAGATAAGCACTGTATTTAAATTGCCACAAGAGTAAAAGTTAGTGCTGAACCACATTTTTAATATTACAGACCTTCAAATCGGATCTTTCTGAGGTTACATTTAGAGAGGACTTTGAAAGCAAGATCGGAGATATGTGGCGAACCAATGAAAACCACCGATGTAATACGAAGACAATGCTCAACTAAAGCCTTCAGAAGAAAAAAGATTATTAAATTAGCCACAACACAAGTTTAATGAAGTAATGAGGTCATGTTTTTCCTAAATATTTCCAGAAACACATTAGCCATTAAATTTTCATTTTTTCAAAGAAAACAGGACTTTTTTTCAATATATTTTAGTATACATACATTAGAATAATGCAGAGGAATGAGAATTAAATCATGTTATGAAAGTATGGGAAAATATGAAAAAATAGAATGATGAAAAAATCACTACATTTAGAAGCTTCACATATAGAGCTAAACTTAAAATTTATGCTTAGACTATATCACTGAAACAAAAATATCCTAACTGTGAAACAAAGTTTCTTAGGATATTTAAGGATTCAAATGTTCAAATGTGTATGTGCGTAAATTTTAAATGATTTTCTTACTATTAAAAAAAACGAATATGAAAAGCCCATTCATATTTTTAGTAATTCAAGTCACTAAAAAATGTGCCCATCTAATGGGACTGAGAAGAAAATGTACTTTCCAACTACTTACTTTTAAACAGTTGTCTGTTAGAGTTGGCATGTCATTGATGATCAGATGCATGATTCCAGTGCAGCTGTTTGCAATATTCCTGAAGCCTTGGACTGAAATCTGAATTTTACAGAGTAGGTGGAAATAATGGGAGAACCCATTAGAATGAAATCTAATAAAACCCTTTGGTAGTAATAAACAAAGGTATGTCATGATTTTGCTATTGTGTTTTAAAATGGAAACCAACGCTAGCTGATGTGGCTCAGTTGGTTAGGCGTCACCCCCTGCAAATGGTTGCCAGTTTAATTCCCAGCCAGGGCACAGGCCTGGGTTGGGCACTCAATCTCTGGTGGGGGCATATAGGAGCAGCAGATTGATGTTTTGCTCTCACATTAATGTTTTCTCTCTCTCTCTCTCTCTCTCTCTCTCTCTCTCTCTCTCTCTCTCTCCCCCTCTCCCTCTCTCTCTCCCCCTCTCCCTCTCTCTCTCTAAAAATCAATTTAAAAAAAATTTTTTTAATGGTAACCAGGCATACAGGTAAAGAATCTAGATTTGAATTTTCTCTTTATTATTTAATATTTTACATGTATATATTGTGAAATGATCATCACAAGTCTAACTAACATTCATTATTTGAGGTAAAATTCACATAACATAAAATTAATCACTTAAGCCATTTAACCATTAATCATTTTGTGCAACCACAACCTCTAACTAGTTCCAGAACATATTATCACCCTAAAGCAAGATATTTTCAACCTTTTTCATCTCATGGCATACATAAATTAATTACTAAAATTCTGCAGCACACCAAAAAATATATTTTTGCTGATCTGATGAAAAATTAGATATAATTTTTATTCATTCACACTGGACTGTTATTGTTGTATTGGCTATTGGCATTTTTTTATTTGACAATCTAAGGGAAAAGAGGTCAGTGCCCCTAACTAGTCAGGTACTGTATGTTTTAGAAATTCTTACAACTCATTGGTTGAAAATCACTGTTCTAAAAGGAAATCCTGTACATATTAAGCAGTTGCCTCCCATGCTTGCCTTCTCCCAGACCCTGGTAATCACTAACTTGTGTTCTGTCTCTATGAATTTACCTATTCTAAATTTTTTCTATAAGTGAGTTTATATAACACTAGAGACCCACTGCATGGATTCGTGCACCGGTGGGGTCCCTTGGCCTGGCCTGCACCCTCTCACAATCCGGGACCCCTCGGGGGATGTTGGACTGCCAGTTTCAGGCCGATCCACACAGGCCAGGCCGAGGGACCCTACTGGTGCACGAATTCGCACCCTCCTCTCTCCACCCTCCTCTTTCCCACCCTCCTTTCTCCCCGCTTCCCTCTGAAATTCATCAGTCTATTCCATGTTTCCATGCCTGTGCATTGAGTGTCTGCCCCCTGGTGGTCAGTGCACAGCATAGCTACCGGTCAAATGGGTGAATGGTCACTAAGGCTCTTGTATATATAGATTGTATGAATATACCACATTTTGTTTATCCATTCATCTGTTGATGGATATTTAGGTTGTTTCCATTTTTTGGTATTTTAAATGGTGCCACAATGAATATGCATGTACATCTATTTGTTTGAGTACCAGTTTTGAATTCTTTTGGTTATATCTATAGGAGTGGAATTACTGGGTTCCATGATAATTCTATGTTTAACTTCTTTTTTTAAAAAATATATTGTATTGATTTTTTTTTTACAGAGAGGAAGGGAGAGGGATAGAGAGTTAGAAACATCGATGAGAGAGAAACATCAATCAGCTGCCTCCTGCACACTCCCCACTGGGGATGTGCCCGTAACCAAGGTACATGCCCTTGACCGGAATCGAACCTGGGACCCTTCAGTCCACAGGGCGACGCTCTATCCACTGAGCCAAACCGGTTAGGGCTATGTTTAACTTCTTAAAGAACCACCAAGATGTTTTCCACAGTGCCTGCACCATTTTACATTTCCACTAGCAATCTATGGGGGTTCCAATTTCTCTACATCTTTGCCAACACTTATTTTCTTTTTAATTTCCTGGTGGGTTTGAAATAGTACCTCATTGTGATTTTTATTTTCAGCTCCCTCATTACTGATGATATTGAGCATCTTTTTGTAATTTGTATATCTTCTTTGGGGGAATGTCTAATTCAAATCATTTGCCCATTTGAAATTGGATTATTTGTCTTTTTGTTGTTGAGTTGTAAGAATTCTGTATATATTCTGGATACTAGACACTTAGATATATAACTTGCAAATATTTTCCCATTGTTTGCTTTTTAAGTAATAACCTTTGGCATACAAGTTGTTAATTTTGATAAAGTTCAATTTATTTATTTTTGTTGTTGTTGCTTGTGCTTTTGGTGTTCTAGCTAAGAAGCCATTGCCAAATCCAAGGTCAGGAATATTTACCCCCAGTGTTTTGTTCTAAGTTTTATCATTTTAGCTCTTCTATTTAGGTCATTATTCCGTTTTATTTTATCCCATTAAACTTTGTTTTAATGGGTCTCAAAGTTTTGTGACAGATTTTTGGTTGTTTTCATTTAAAAGTACTGATTTTTTAAATGTAACTTAAAAACTGCCACACACACACACACACACACAAATGGTCCACAAAACATTCTCCTTTCTTCCTGAAGGTTTTAGGATGCATTGTAATCATTAACCTCTCTTTTATTATTAAACTTAAATGGTCAATTGAGATAAAGCATTCTGAGACTATTCTTCCACCACTGACTAAAATTAGGGTGGCAGGTATTGGGGATAATATTCATTTAGTCTGAGCTTTCTGGACAGACTTGGTGACTTTGCCAGCTCCAGCTGCCTTCTTAATCCATTCCTTTGATGACACCCAAGGCAACTCTCTGTCTCATGTCACAAACAGCAAAACAGCTCAGAGGAGGGTAGTCAGAGAAGCTCTCAACATACATGGGGTTGCTAGGAACCATATCGATGATGGCAGCATCACCAGATTTCAAAAACTTAAGGCCATCTTTCAGCTTTTTTCCTAGAACAACAATAAATCTTTTCCTTCAACTCAGCAAATTTGCAAGCAATGTGAGCTGTGTGACCATCCAGCACAGGGGCATATCCAGCACTGATCTGGCCTGGGTGGCTCAGTATAACCACCTGAGCTGCGAAGCCAGCTGCTTCCGTTGGTGGGCCATTTTTGCTGTCACCAGCTACATTGCCACGGCGAACATCTTTGTCAGACATGTTCTTGACGTTGAGGTCCACATCGTCCCCAGGAAGAGCTTCATTCAAAACTTCATAGTGCGTTTCAACAGATTTTACTTCAGTTGTAACATTGACTGGAGCAAAGGTGACCACCATGCCAGGTTTAATAACACCAGTCTCCACTCAGCCCACAGGGACAGTACCAATACCACCAACTTTGTAGTCATCAAGAGGGGCAGATGCAGGGGCTTGTCAGTTGGACGAGTTGGTGGCAGGATGCAATCCAGAGCTTCAGGCAGTGTGGATCCACTGGCATTGCCATCTTTAAGGGTGACTCCTATCCCTTGAACCAAGGTATTTTAGCATTTGGCTCAAGCATGTTGTCACCATTTCAACTAGAAATTGGCACTAATGCTACTGTGTCAGGGTTGTAGCAAATTTTCTTAATGTTGGTGCTGACTTCTTTAACAATTTCCCCGTGTCTTTCCTGGCTCTAGGGTCGCTCAGTGGAATCCATTTTGTTAACACCAACCATCAGCTGTTTCACACCCAGTGTATAAGCCCGACGGGCATGTTCACAGATCTGCCCATTCTTGGAGATACCTGCTTCAAATTCACCAATACCAGCAGCAACAATCAGGACAGCACAGTCAGGACAGCTTTGGGAGGTAATTTTGGGCTCTACCCTTGTGGTTGGGAATAATGTCCTTATAACAGAGGCCCAGTGAGATCCCTCGCTGTAACCCACTATGTAAGGTAAGGAGGTAAGGTGCTATCTAGGAACCAAGGAGTGGATCCTCACCAGACACTGAATCTGTCGGCACCATGCCCTTGCACTTTCCAGCCTCCAGAATGGTGAGAAATAAATGTCTGTTGTTGATAAGCTACTCAATCTATATTTTGTTATAACAGCCTGAATGGACCAAAATACTTACATCATTTTTTTCTAATCAGCTTTCTAGAAATATGTTTTTAAAGGCTGAACAATGTATTTATTTGGCCCTGGAATTTCTTCGGCAAAATTGTCCTAAGGATATAATGCTACACATGGAGATTTATATACAAGGATGTTCATTGCAAAGTTCCATAATACTGAAAAAATAATACCAAATTTAAATTCTAATAATTAGAAGTGGGTTAACCTAAACTGTGTCAACTCCTATGATGGAATGTATTACAGTTACTACAGATTATGTTTTAGGAGAATAACTGAGATTGTGATATAGTTTAAAAGAAAAAGTTGGTTATATAAAATCCATGCTACTCAAAGTGTGGGCTACTGACCAGCAGCATGGGCATTAACTAGGAGATTGTTAGAAACACCGAATCTCAATCCAACACCTACTGCCCCAGAGGCTGCACTTGAACAAGATTTCCAGGTATTTTACATGCACAGTATAGTTTGAGAAGTGCTAATCCAGAGGAAATAAATGAGCAAAAGAATGGGGGCAATTAGTGTATGAGTTGGGTTCTTCAGAAAAACAGAACCAATTGAATAGATGATAGATAGATAGATAGATAGATAGATAGATAGATAGATAGATAGATAAAGATGGAAGGGAGGGAGGGAGGAAAAACAGAACCAATAATGGGTTTAATGACATTTCTTTTTACAACAATGGTGGTTTCCATTGATTTTGGAGAGAAGAGAAAGAGTGAGAGAGAGAGAGAGAGAGAGAGAGAGAGAGAGAGAGAAAAGAGAAGAGAAGAGAGGGAGGGAAGGAGGAAGGGAGGAGGGAAGGAAGGAAGGAAGGAAGGAAGGAAGGAAGGAAGGAAGGAAGGAAGGAAGGAAGGAAGGTTCATTTTAAAAAGTCGTCTCATGATTGTGGGGGCTGTCAAGTCCAAACTCTGTAGAGCAGATGATAGGCTGGGAATTCAGGGAAGAGTTGATGGATGTTGAAGTCTTGAGTCTGAAATCTGCAGCCTGGAACTCAGGCAGGTTTG